TGGGTACCGTACTATCCGACCACTCATCCACTAGGCTGGCCGATGGATGTGTTGGGCCAGGCCTGGTAGGCTGGTAGCTACTCATTGATCACAAATTGATAATCTATAAAAGTACCTTAAGATCATCCAATTTCATGGTATTTCGACTTTGTGATGTTAGTTTTCAGCAATAATTATTTTATATTTAATACGTACTTTAATTATTCATAATTTATGATAACTTATATAATAATAAATTTTATTATATATATATATATATATATATATATATATATATATATATATATATATATATATATATATATATATATATATATATGATTGTTATGTATGTTTATTAGATTTAGAAAATTTATTTTTTCTAATTTTACGCTAACTTCTTGGTTACCGTCTTCCTTTCCTCAATTACTATCTTAACTTTCTTGAAGCTCTTAAATATCAACAATCTATCCAATATTACATTAAAGAAAAGAAACGGAAACCCAAAAAGTTACAGGCAAAAATTAGGTTTGCTCTTAATACCAATAAAGCCATAAGTTTTACATTGTTATTCTAAATTAGCCCTAAATGGATTTTTGTGTCTAATTAGCCTAAATAATTGTGACCCCATTTCAAAATTGTTTTATCATCCGGTCAAGGTACGCAGCTGGTCACCACTCTCCTATACTACTTGATAGTTCGTATACCACCTAATATCACCTTTCACAAAAACATCTTGCATCAAAAAAGGGTTTCTTGTAGTTGGTCTTAGGAAGAAGAAGGGTTTGAAAAGGGTTTCTTACACCATTGTTGCATGCAAAAAAGCTTCTGTTTTGATGTTGATAATCACTGAAGTAGAAAGGTACGTGGGGTGCCAATAAGAAATTGATGTGTATGTGTGTTCTTATCTTACATAATCGAGTTCCATAGTGTCACTTCCAAGTATAATTTTTCATTTTGAACAGATGGCTTCATCATCTGGAACTAAAAAGGTGAAAGGGCCTGAAAAGGTTTATGTAAGGGACGAGGACTCTAATGATGATCTCATAGATTTCTCTTTCCTGGATTTTGCACCAGAGACCTTTAAACCGACCTCAAACCTATTTGATGACCCATTTCTTAACATGTTATGTGATGAAAATATGCTAAGGAGGACTCTTGATGAAATGGGAGATGATGATCAGGAAGTTGGTGTTAAGGATCCAGAACATGATCATATTGATGATCAAAATGACGGTGAAGTAGGTGTAGAGTACAGGGTTCATGATCCAGACATACATTGGAAACAAATGAAGCCGGTAGTGGGAGAGTGTTACGAGTCCCCTGCTCAACTCAGGTTTGCATTAACTAATTATGCGGTAGCTAATGGATATCAGTTGTGGTTTATGAAGAGTGATAGGCATAGAGTAATTGCTAGGTGTAGGAAAATATATAAAAAAGACCCATGTCCCTTTAGAGTTTATGCTGCTTGGAAGTATAATGAACGAACATTTCAGATTAAATCTATATGTGACATACATCTATGTGCTAGAAATTTTAATTTTGGAACTTTGGTTAGTTGTAACTGGTTGGCCAAACATTACTTGAAGGATATTATTATGAAGCCAAAGATGACATTAACTGAGATGAAGGAAGATGTACTTAGGATGTTTTCAGTAGATGTATCCAAGAGGCAATGTTACAGGGCTAGGACAAAGGCAAGAGAGATGATAGAAGGTAAGTTAGAAGAACATTATGCAAAGGTATGGGACTATGCTGCAGAAATCCTCAGGTCTAACCCAGGGAGCACTTGTAAGGTGGGAGTAGATTCTAATGCAAGTGGCATGAACTATTTCAAAAGGTTTTATGTGTGTTTAAAGGCTTTTAAGGATGGTTGGAATAGGGGTTGCAGACGTGTGATAGGTTTGGATGGTTGTTTCCTAAAGGGTCAGATCAAGGGAGAACTTTTGACTGCTATTGGAAGAGATGCAGACAATCATGTATATCCAATAGCATGGGCAGTGATCGATGTAGAGAATAAAGATAATTGGACTTGGTTTATTGAGCTGTTAGTTGCTGATCTTGACCTTGACTGTGGTAGGGGTCTTGTGGTTATTTCCGATCAGCACAAGGTAAATTATACTATAAATTTGTTTAATTATTATACATTGATAATAATTTTGTTTATTCAATGCCAGGGTCTACTACAAGCTGTTACAAAACTACTTCCATATGTTGAACATAGACAATGTGCCAGGCATATCTATGCAAACTTCAGGAAGAAATACACTGGGTTAGAGCTCAAGAACCTGTTTTGGGAAGCTGCTAACAGTACTGTGGAGAGGGACTTTATAGCAACAATGAAGAAAATCAAAGACATAACTCCCAGTGGCTATGAATGGCTGATGTCAAACAAACCACATTCTTGGTGTAGGGCATTTTTCTCTCAAGGATATGCTTGTGAGGCTATAGAGAATGACATATCAGAGTGTTTTAACTCGATGATCATTCACATGAGAAAAAAACCAATTCTAACAATGCTTGAAGAAATCAGGATTTATTTGATGAATAGGTTTAATCATCAAGCTGCTATAGTTTCTCAATGGAAAGGTGACTATGGCCCAAACACCTTAGAGAAGATTAAGGAGTTTGGAAAGCATATGAGGTATGCTTATTTGATTTTAATTGTGATCTTAAGTCTATACATTTACATTACTAATTACTTATAATTTTAGGTTCTGGATAGTAATACCAAGTGGAGGGGCATTATTTGAGACAAGGCATGGATATTCAGCTTACAAGGTGGATTTAGATGCTCATTCTTGTTCATGCAAATTATGGGAGATATCAGGGTTACCATGTGTTCATGCTCAAGCTGCAATCAATTTCACACATAGAGATCCAACTGATTTTATTTCCTTTTGGTTCCATAAGGACAAGTTCATAGAGACATACAGGGACAACATCTTACCTGTTAATGGAAGTAATATGTGGCCCTGTACTGAATATTTGAAGCCCTTACCACCCCTTGTTAGGAGAATACCTGGAAGGCCAAAAACAAAGAGAAGAAGACATGCCTCAGAATGTCAGGATTCTAAGTTCCCTACTCAAAAGGAAAATGTTAGCAGGACTGTTAGGTGTGGGAAATGTAGGGAACTTGGTCATAATAAGCTGTCTTGTAAGAATGGAGAAGGTCCAAGTGACCCTGTCCCTAAAAGGAAAAATGGTAGACCAAAGGGAGATGGGGGAGGGAATTTAGCTGTGAACATTGCAAAGACACCAAGGAAAGTAGATAAGGGAAAGAAGAAAGTTGTTGAGGACACATCAAAAGAAATAAATGAGGGACATAATAAAGTTGTTGATCACACATCAAAAGAAGCAAGTGAGGGAAAGATGAAAGCTGTTGAGGGCACATCAAAAGAAGCATGTAAGATGATAGATGTTGATCAATCAATTTCTCCTTTGAAGAGAATGAAGATGATGGCAAGGAGGGGAGGTAAGATCAAATATGTAGGGAAAATAGGGGCTGTGCATGGTAGTATAAGTCAAAATGTGGCAGGTGTTGACCATGAAGATTTTGAAACTATTAAAGATCTGCAGGCATCTGGATATGATAATGGGGAAATTGTTGAAGCTTTTAATAAGGTGTGTAGTTATAAATTTAATTATTAACACAATTTTCTTGAACATTATATGATAATATGTTTATGTTAATTTCTTATTCACAGTTGACAAAAGAGAGGAAGGAGATGTTGGCTGAGAGTATAGTTGATGAAGAGACTAGTCAAGAAACACAAGATCCGTTGGTAAAAAAAAGGAAGCCCTCAGAAAGAATTATCAAGATTAAGTTGAAAAAAGAAGTGCATGATCCAGATGGAGGTGGTTCAACAATTGAGAAAGCACTTACATTGGACTGATGTTGTTATGGACGGGGGGTTAATTGGGCATAAATCTTTTGATAGCCCTTTTTTGTGAAAGCATCTTTTGGTAACAAGCTTCTAATTTGTTGACAACATGTTATCTTTTGACTGTAAATTGTAGTAACATTGTCATTTTGGGAAATCATCTTTTGGCTTGTAAACATTGTTGTAAAATTGGAAGTTTGGTTCTGATTGTTACCCTCCATGTATGTATTTGGCTATTATGTTTATAAATATTGTGGTTTGTAGTAAGTTCAAATTTCTATGACAGTTTGTAATGGATAGTAAATTGTCAATTTCTGGTTAATGTTTTTCATATTAATTGTCCCGTAGGACTATGTATTACAAGGGTATCCATATTACAACCATCAAAATGTTTTCAGATGCTATTACAACTGTGCCAAAATAAGCATCTAATACAATTTCACCTAACCAACAACTTCACAAAAAGACTAAAATTAGCTTCCTAACTTCCTAAAATCTCACCAGCAATACAGTCCCTGTTACCAACATCACTGCAAATAGCATGACCATGATAAACATAAGCTTCATCATCAACATCAACCTCCTATTTTGATCCACACTCACCTGTTCCAACCGAGCATTGCCATCAACCATCCCAACCAGAGCTAAATGCATTTGGTACCACTACTAGAAAAACAGCCTTTTACGACGCTCATTGCGCGTCGTAAAAGGCTCAGACGACGCGCAAATGCGCGTCAAGGAAGGCCCTGTCATAAAGAGAGACGACGCGCATTTACGACGCTCATTAAAGACGCGCAATTATGACGCGTGTTTACGACACGCAATGCGTATCAAGGAAGGCCCTGTCATAAAGGAAGACGACACGCATTCACGTGTCGTAACCTTACGACGCGCGTGTTAATGACACGCAATGCGTATCAAGAAAGCCCCTGTCAAGAAAGGCCATGTCATAAATGAAGATGATACACATTTTTGCGTATCGTAAATTTAAATATTTAAAAATATATATTTATATATTTATTAATTTTTAAATTAAATTTGCATTTAATGTGTCATAATAGAAATAAAATACCATATACAAAAAAAATACAATCCATTGCATAAACTTTAATGTCATACAATTCTATTTCTTACAATATATAAATTTGCATTCATCTAATCTATTCTATGTTTCATACTAACAATTGAAATGAACAATACAACACTTGCATTTTCAGCATCTTATCTCTTTCGGCTTGAGCTTTCTTTTCCACTTCTAACTCGACAGCTGTTCGCTTTCATCAACCCTGTAAACACAACACAAAATCACTTGTCATTTTCATTCTACTTTTATGTTTACTAGTCAATCCTTCAACTTTCTTTACTAATTAGATTCACCTGGCACCAATATTGCTGATGTTTACTAGTCAATCCTTCAATCTATCATATGAAGTATGAAAAATATGAACAATAGGAAATGGAAGTTCAAAATCCTAACCAAAAATCCCAGATATATAACATTATGCCCTCTTGGTGCTTGTCCTCCTGACAACACAACTCCTACCTTCAAGGCAGATCTTGATTCATTAGATTCACCTGGCACCAAATCAGAAAAGAAAACCAACCAAACCATTACATTGTTGTGATTTGCATTTATCCCTACAATTTAACTTTAATAGCATTAAAAAAAATATGTTCAAACAGATCCACCATTGGGGAGAGAAGGAAATGGTGAATGTGTTTCTTGGGATGAATGATACAAGAGAGAGCCTAAATTTATACTAGAGCCTACCTCACTAAACAAGGAAAATACATAACAAGAAAAGATAAGCATTAACTTTACAGCTAATTTACAGCCAATATACAATAAGAGTTTAATGAAAAAACTAAATTCCACAGTTGAGAATCGCGTAACTGAGACAAGCGGTGGATGCGTGTTCCAAGCTGATCCAAAAGGGCAGATGGGTAATTTCACCAACAAAAAGGGCATTACTGATGAAAAGTGTGCTAACCTTATTTTAGAAGACAGATCCTTAGATGAATCTGCTTGATGCTCTTGGCCACGACCACTAAAGACATCTTTTGGGTAAGATTCACGCCATCTTTTCCAAATACCAATCACACTAAACTTTGACATAAATTCAACCTAAAACAACATAAAAAATATATATAAACTTACAATTGGTGATGATAAAGAATTTTACTTAATTCCAAATAACATAAAAGTAATTGCTTACCATGGACCCCGCATAAAGAGGAGCAAATAGTGCATTGAGGAGGCCATGAACATGTACAGATTAAATTAAGAATCAACAAGAAATGTGAAACATTTTTAGAAAAAAAAGGAATTGAAAGTAATTATTTTAATGTTTATTTAAGGATATGGTGTAATGGAAGACAATGTAGAAAACAATCACTGGATGTGTATTCCCAAGCTATTGATAATGTTTTCACCTCAAATTATGCAGGAAAACAGCAATTAGAAGATCACAGATACGTTTTTTCTTAAAAAATATACGAATATTTCACAAGTTTGGTTTTTAAAGTATTTTCTTCCAAAACTTTAAATTACCTGTGCTAAAATGCTACTGTGTGTATGAACAACTCCTTTAGGTTTCCCAGTTGTTCCACTAGTATACAAATCAATGTTGGATCATCGTCTGTATGAATAAGACAATTTTATATTATTATTGTATATGAAATTATATATATATATATATATATATATATATATATATATTAAAGAACATGGATATATACCTTTTATGTTATTTGCAAATACATTCTCTTTTTGATGTACAACACCATTATCTACTGCTTGTGAAGTCATAGTAGGAACATTTGGTATTAGAGAAAATTGAGCTGTAGTTTTAGCTGCAACTTTTTGCATAAGCTCCCTGTGATCATCAGTACTCAAAATCATGGACACATCCTTCAAAACTCAAATTAACAATGTTGTATTATTAGGAGAATAAAATTGTATCTTACAAAGGCCACATAAACCACATTAAAAAAAGGGTATGTTAATTGAATAAGGAGAAAAGAGTCATTTTATTGAATTTCATTTCTTCCTATTAAAGAAATTTTAGCAATATCATCCAAATACAAAGAAATTTCTTCCAAATAAAAAACATAGGAAACTAGAAAAGTTTAAGGTTGTTTTGAGAGCAAACCGAGTCAGTCATGACATGTAACAACTCAGCTTCAGGGTAACTGAGTGCAAGTGGAACAGCTACACCTGCATTTAACCATATTGCAAGTACTCCAGCAACAAACTCATCACAAGGTTTAGCCACAACACCTATTCTAGTTATAAGAATGAAGAAATAATAGTGTTTGGGATCTATGGTGTTGATATTGCAAAGAAAACAAAGGCCCATTTGATTCACATAATCTATTTGGAAGGAATGGAATATGTCAAAGCAATTGGAATCTGAAAGAATTGCAATCTGTTAATTGTTTGGTTGGCAGAAAATGGGAAGGAAATCAATCACAATCCTTAGTTTAGCAACCAAAAAACAAAATGGAATTCAAGATTCCAATTCCTTCAGATTCCCACAGAATCCACGAACCAAAACTTATGTTCAATATTCATAATCTATGTTTCCACTAGAAGAAACTACAAAAATGGAATTCAAGATTCCAATTCCTTCAGATTCCCTTTAGTTTTCTTTTTCTCTTTATTTATCTTTAACCTCTCTATCACGACCCTTTTCCCTGTCCCTTTCACTCCCAGGTCTTTCTGATCTTGCTTCCACTTCGATGTCGCCTTTTCATCATATTGTTGATGATTTATAACCTCCAAACCACGACAATACATAAGTAACTCCATTCATCATGGTAAATTTAGAGTTTAGAGGATGATTCCCAAATTAGTTAGGGTTTATCAGTGAAAAAGGAAATATCTTCAAATATTATATGTAAAGAGGAAGAAATAGAAACCTCAGGAGCCATCCATCTGTAAGTTCCAGTCTCTGCTGTCATACTCCCCCTTGACTCAAAACCAGGCAACCCCAAAATCCGCCACCTTTACAACCTAAAATTAAAATGTTAAATTAAATTTAAAAAAACAGAGAAACAGTTAAGAAGCTAATAAGTCAAAGTGTAATTAATGCCTTTATAGTTTTTACGTTGAGTGTCGATGAGCAAATTTGCAGTCTTGAGAGCCCTATGAATTATGTTGGTTTCTCATTTGAGGCGTCCAACTCCTGAGAAGGCCTCTGCCTCTGATCAAGAAAAAGTGGAGGAGGGTCAGCAGACAAAAAATGAGTCCCAAGAATTAGCTGGGATGGTGCTTGAAACTGAAATTGCTGGTGAAAGAAACAGTGGTATCGTAAATCAAAACCACTGTAATCGGTGGATTTATTTACAAGAATTAGAAATTATTGACTTACCTCAAGTTGACCTTGTAGCGACATAACGTAATTGATGATTTTATCGACCATAAGTGCTTTTCCAGTGACCTAAGAACATGATTTCACATTTTGATTTCACCGACCATGAGTACTTTTCGAGTGACCTAAGAACACGATTCCGAATTGGCGATGGAGACGAACCAGAAACCTTTAGAGGTGGCGACCTGGCGGTGGTGAATTCTCTTTCTACAACACCGACGACTCTGATTTTGATAACACTGACGGTGAAGGATTCTCTTTCTATGACACCGGTGGCTCTCAATTTGATTGAGGTAGAAGACGAAGCAGTAAGCGGTGGAATGTATTTAGGACTTATGAATGGGCGTTGGGAAGAAGTAGACGATAACGGAGTCGGGGTTGCATTTCTGGAGGCTTCGTATAGGGCGGTGGTGGTGAAAGGGTTTTGGCTCTGAACAGTAAAGAACAAAGACGGTGAGGTTAGTGTAGTAATTTGGAAGATAGATGGTAATGGGGAAGAACGGTCGTCTTTCATTGGAAGTCGACGGCGGTGGGAGACACTCAGAAGGGGCGAAGAAGCAGCAGATATTGGAAGGCGAATAGAGGTTTGAGAATCAAGAGAGAAGAAAGAAAGAAATGGGGTTTTCGGCGGGGAAGAGCTAGGGTTTTCAGCCGGTGGAAACAAAGCGGGATTTTTAATTTTTGGATTTCATTTCCCCCTCGGATGAAACGCGTGTTTCATTAAAATTTATAAAGCGACATGGTTAGACGACACACATTTTATTTAAGATGCCCTCCGTGTTTTTTTTTATTTTTTATTAGACACTAATTTAAGGGCGCGCAAAAATCCGTGCCCTCTATGCTTCATATTTTGGAAAACTGACATCAATTTTTAGGGCACGCTCAAATGCGTGTTCTCTATCAGCGCGTGTCATTGATTACGCGTCGTAAAAGGCTGTTTTTCTAGTAGTGTACATGAGGTTTTTGTAATCTTCACTAGGCAAAGGTAGGTCCAACCACATGAAGAACTTACAATACCTGGAAGGATCCTGCACACTTTTATGACAGATTTGCCCTTAGTCCCATAACAAAACTTTATACTGCACATTTTTATGACAAATTTGCCCTTAGTCCCATAACAAAACTCTATACTGGATCAAAGAGTGAAGAACAAATGTGCACATTTTTATGATAGATTTGCCCTTAGTCCCATTCGAAAACTTTATACTACACATTGACAAATTTTCCCTTAGTCCCATAACAAAACTATATACTGGATCAAAGAGTGAAGAACATACCTTGTAGTTGGTGCATCCCTTAAATTTTCTTCCAGGATTCTTGCCCGTCCATGAAATTGAGAAGCTAGCCTCAACACCACAACAACACAAAACCATGGGGTTGTTTCTGTTCCTGAAATTGACATTAACATTTTGAAATCCTAAAGTCATTGACCCTGTAGACCCTGTAGATGAACTAGCCATGAAGAAGTTAGATGCGTGGAAGGAGAAGTCGGAGAATGTAGAAGTAGGAGATGGAAGATGGGTTTCTAATGGTAAAACCCTTATTTGTAAAGGGGTGACCGGCTGAAACCGGGGAAACCGGCTAACAGGGTTTGAGGCAAAAGTCAACACATACATAATGGCTAATTAGACACAAAAAATCCATTTAGGGCTAATTTAGAATTATGGTGTAAAACTTATGACTTTTATGGTATTAACCCTTGATAGTAAAATATTAAAGAAACTTTGAAAGAGTTAATTGGTCAACACATATTCAAATTTCTCCATATCTAACTTTCTATTTATTTGGTATGATTGAGCTTCTCTCCTGTTTTACACTGTTTCTTTAAGTCGTTTGAACTTCTTGCTTAAGATTTAAGTGGGTTTTTTTTTGTTCCAATAAAATTGCAAGTCCAAAAATAATACATATACATTTTCTCTATTTTTCATGTGCAATTAGACTGGACGGAGTGGCTTTGGCGAGTCACCCGGAGAGCCCGGTGAACACCGGGCCGAGGACTCGTCATGCCGAGCTCGGTTCAGTAACTCGGTGAGAAATTGTCAATGAGAGAGAGTGTGTATGGTTTGGAGAAAATAGAGAGAAAGAAGTATATCCACGGGACAATGGTTGGTTCTTCTTTTGAAGTTGTAGTCGATCACAAATACAAAAATGAAAGAAACACTTCCGTGTCTATACGTCTCCAAATGCAAGGAGAAGACAACAAGTTTTTCCAAATTTAACATAGAGTAAAGGTCATTAGGGTTTGGTCTGCTAAAATAAATATGATATATAAATTATCATTATTGTGTTTTTAATAAAATAAATATGAGTATTTTAATAAAAAAATGTCGATGGTATCATTATTTTTATTTTTTTAATAAATAAATATAAGATTTCTTCAAATAAATTATATATATATATATATATATATATATATATATATATATATATATATATATATATATATATATATATATATATATATGGGACGGTTCACTTGAGAATAAAAAAAACATAGAGATCTTGAGATTAAATCTCAGCCACATTGTTAGGCGTGTCAAACTCAACAAATAAAGGGGTACGATATACTCCAAAATAATCCCACTATATTGCACTAAAAGGTAGTACAAGGCAAGCAGGGTCGATCCACAGAGACACGAGACAATTGGTCTATACCTATTTGCACAAGGTACTATGGTCACCAATAGTAAAGAGAGGGGGGTTTAGAATGTAATGATTAAACAAACAATTAAAAACATAAGCAATCAACTAAATGCGTGAATTAAATTCAGAATTTGTAAGGACTCCAACCCCATGTATGACAATTTAGCAATGTGACTCAAAGATGACACAATATTCGTTCAATTCTATCTAAGTTGGTACTTGAAAGTGCTAATAAGCTCTAACACTTCCCATTCACCATATTAATTAACCAAAACAAGCTCTTTGATTAACCCTAACCTTATTAACCTAATCTAAACAAGCTCTTAGAATTAGATTATAAGATTGCATGAAGCGTTATGTGAATGATCCCAACAACACCCAATACTCCTCATAAGTTCGGGAGTGTAAAAGTGTATGAATAAGATTTACACTAAATTCATTCAATAGAGATCAATTTAATGCTTGTTACTTGTTCAATTTCACAAAAAAATTACGGATTTTGTAAAAGAGATAACTTGAATGACCTAGCCCTAATTCAAATGGCCAATAAGAATCATAATTAGAATCAAACATTCGATTGAAGCAAAATCAAATTCATTAGATAGAAATTAAGAACAAACATCATGTCATATGATTGAAGTCACTACCAAGAAGTCAAAACATGAAATTGGAGAAATTAGGGTTCTAGCCACACATGGCTAGAACAAGATCACAAGAATAAAAGATGGAATTAAAGTGCAATTACAACTTACAAATACTAGAAATAATGTTTCCAAATGACTGCTAATCAAACCCTTACAAAAACCTTTGAAAATCCTCCTCCAATGGTGCTCTGATATGTTGTGTGTCTATAAAAATGACCCTTAACCCGTAATATGAAAGATAGGAAAAACTGCCAAAAGTTGGTTTCTGGGTCGAACATGGCCCGCGTTAAAATAGGCTAAACTAACACAGGTCGTGTTCAGCAACACGCCCCATGTTGATTTGCACTAAACTGACACGGGTCATGTTCAGCAACACGCCCCGTGTTGATTTGCACTAAACTGACACGCCCCGTGTTCAGCATGGTCAACAGCTCCCATTTTGGTCAAACACGCCCTGTGCCCATTTTTCAGTGTAAATTCAACACGCCCCGTGTACCTTTCTGACTCTAATTCCAAACTTGATTTTTCCAAGTTTTTCGTTCTTCGCCCGATCATCCCGAAATCTTCACCAATACTTACCGACACTTCCCAAAGCGCGTTCCAACCTCCGGTTTACCTGAAAAAGATATAAAAGTGTGCAAATAAGGTTGTTCTAGAGACTAACATGAATATGATACAATGCAAGGAAAAGGAAGAACAATTGTGCTAAATATATGCATAAAATGGGACTAAAAGGTGCGCAAAAAGGTGCACAAATAGCACCTAACACACATATTTTGCATTTGCCGCTCTAATGCTCCAGCGTACCAGCAGCCACGATGTATGTCTAATCATAAATGATTATTTGGCACAGAGGTATAATCATACATGATTATACATGATTATACATGTTTATACGTATATGCATAATCATAAATGATTATACATATATGTCTGTTCACAGACTGAGTAGTCATAAATGATTATTGCAGTTAGTCGCAGAAGAGGTGGTGGTGACAGAGGTGGTGGTGGTATAAGTAATGGAGGTGACAATGGTGGGGTCGATTGGTGTCAGAAATAGTGGTGGTGGTTACGGTGGTGGGGATGGTGACGGAGGAGAAAGGAACGGGTGACACTGTGTAATCATTTATGATTACACCAGACCTGCCGCACCGGTACGCCGAAGGGTTAGAGCGGCAGATGTGAAATACGTGGCTGAGGTTGAATCTCGAGATCTCTATTTTATTTTTAATCTCAACGGAACCTATATATATATATATATATATATATATATATATATATATATATATATATATATATATATATATATATATATATATATATATATATATATATATATAACCTTTCAAACCGACATTAATTTGGTACAAAGATTGTTTGCAAGTGTTTTTTGGTTTCAAGATTAACCTACAAAAATAAAATAATAATAATAAAATAAAAAAGCAGAAGTGACTTTTTTTGTCATTAAAACCAAAATATAAAGATTTTTTTTTGCAGATTTTCCAAACCATTACTATAGTCTCAATCAATGTTTTAAAAATCGGTTTGAACCGGCCGATCGAATCGGTTGAACCGGAAACCGGAAAATGTAGCAGTTTAACTAGCATCAGTTTTATGTCTATTTCTGAATAGAATGAACTAGCCGGTTTTTAAAAAAAATCGGTTGGACCGGTTAAATTAAACCGGTTGAAATGAATAAATTAAATAAAAACACATGGAAATAAATATTTTCATAACAAACTTTTGATTTTTTTTCCACATCTATTTGATTTATTTGAAAAAATACATGCTAAATATTATAAGTTTTTTAATGCGTTTGTATTCATTTGTATTTTGTTTCCACATTAAACTTTATTTTATTTTTGATATATGTGGATTGATGTAAAACTTACGTTTATGTATTTTTAATGTATTTGGATTGATCTTCAACTTATATTTATGTGTATTTTTGATGTTTAAATTCGTTGATGTCTTTGTGTGTATGAAAAATAAGAAAAAAAATGAAAATTATAGAACCAATGGTCAAACCGGTTAAACCACAAACCAATAATCATACCGCTTTAACTAAATAGGTTCTATACCTAAGATTAAATAACCACTGATATTCGCTAAACCGTTTTAATAACATGTGGACAAAAACAAGCATATATCAAATTGATCAGACCACAATTTCGATCGACTTCTAAAACATAGATATACTGTGTTTTATAGAAATAGCTTATAAAAAGGTAAAATAATTTAAATCGATGAAAATTATTTAAATGTTTATAATAACTTGAATATGTTTATTTAATAGTGTTTGATTATTATTTTAATAAAATAAAATTATAATAATTGTATATATATTTTTTATGTTTATATACAACTAATTAACTAAAACAACGTTAATATGGCATTAACTCATTTGGTAAATATTTTGCTTTTAGATTGGACATTCACTTCTAATAATTACTAATTAACCATTAAAAATAAAAATTACAACAACGATTGAGAGATAACTTGTTTGAGCATTGAAGTCAGATATATATATGATGTTTTAAGAATATATGGAATTGCAAATAAAATTGCCAATGTTAAAAAGAATATCCATTAGGACTTGCAAGGCCGCTGGAGAGGCTCGAAAAGACTCAAGTTTGGAGTCTTCGATATTAGTTTACCAAACAATTCGATGAAAACCAAAAAGCTTCTTTTTCTTTTCTTAATTCAGAAGGTAAGAGGAACGGAGAAGAAGCGTGAAATAAATTGATAAGTTATACTTTCTGAACGATTTATATGATCATATTGAATGTTAATCACAGAACACTAATAATATTTTAAGCGTATCATTTTTCATATTTTAGACTTTCTGTGTGGAATATCAACCATTAAGCTCCCCATTATGGAACTTCCATGATTAGTGAGGTGGGATACCTTCATTGGTATTCACTTTTACCCATCTTTTAAAAAATTTTAGAAAGAGGATGCTGAAACAATGCTTCAAATGGGGAAAGATGAAATGCCACAACTATACCTAGAGATACCCTCTTCTCATCATTGGCTATGGGTTAATATGTTGCATGTTGTCTGTATAAATAAAAATTAACAAGTTGTTTATTAGTGTATAATTTTTTTAAATATGTTGAATGTCTTGGTAGAAATATCTAAATGTTGTTAATGTCATGCTTTATTTGACGAATCTAGAATAGAAAAATAACATGGTTTCTTAACTAAATGAAGCCGATAAAAACGAAAAAAATCAACAATATGTGTTATGGGTCGGATTATGTCAAACGAAAAAAGATAAGATTGAATACCTTAAAACCAACAAATATCAACCTACTGGAATCTAAAACCGATTTTTTTGCAAAATAAATAAATAATTACTTTATACGACTAAAGTCTATTTTATTTTTTAAAAATCTCAGCTTCCAACTATATTTCTCTACAACCAAAAATATTAGAGAAGTTATGGTGCTTTTCAAAGTTTTTTTATAACTCTACACCCTTCCTTTTCGTACAATCAAACCACTACAACTTTTTCTCTTTATCTTTATCTTCAAGCTGTGACACAACCAATTCTTTTGCAAATGTAGGTACAAACTCTCCACAATCTCTTTCATTTATTTCTTTTTTATTTTGTTCAATTCTATAAAATAGGTTTTAATTTTTTTTTTCAACATAAGTCCTAAAAATTTTCATATGAATATTAAACAAAACTAAAAAATTGAACGGGTCATAATCTTGATTTTGATTTGTGCTAGCCCCATCTTTTTGATTTATCAGTTCTGTTTGGGACCAACATAGTATATCTAAGGATGCGAGTTAGCTGCTAAAACCCCATATTTTACCATACTATAAGATAATAAAAAAAATGAGAAATTAATTGTTTCTTATTTTTATTACCTACAAATATGCATACCCACTAAAATTATGAAACATGTCATTATTCTATTATTTAATTTAATTTTATTTGATATATTCCTAAAAGATAGGAGACAATTTAATTTTTATAAAAAAATAAAAATAAAGTTTAATGTTTTCTACTTTAAGTAACTAATAATCTACCTACGAAGTAATCGGAGAAATTGTTGCTGATTAGGAAACTAACTTTTTCCAATGACCACCGACCAAATTGAAAAATATTGAAAGTTTGTGACTTTCAAAAGTTAAAAGTTCATTAATTTAAATAAAAAAATTGAAAGTGTATTTTTTTCTATAACTAAAAAGTTGGCTATATCCTAAATAAAAAAAAATAACAAAGATGGTAACGTTTTTATTCCCACTTGCCTATCCCAAAATTCCACTTTTGGCCCACAAAGCCAAGTTTTATTTCTTCCTTTTTCTTTATCATTATTATTATGACTAAACGTTCATAGGTAGGATTTTAGGTAAAGGATGGCGGCCTCTCCAATTAAGTATATAAAAAATAAAATAAAATAAGTACAAATTCAATGGAAGGTCCATACATATTGACAATATACAAATAATCTACAAAAAGTTTTTTTTCTTTTTTTTTTTCGCCGTTATAAAAAAAAAAATCATTTAATCGCTTTCTTTTGTGATACGATATTAATAAGGGATGTGGGTATTTAAAGTGTGGTATTTGGGGTTCCAATCAACTAAATCAGACATATTTATTTAAGTTAATAATACTATCAGGTCATTTTGTAGTTATTTCAGATAATTAAATTAAAGAAATCAGTTTTTGGGTTCAAATTGCATAATTTTTCGGAATTAACTAAAACCATTTACAGATCTAATGAATCATTTTTATGGAACTAGAAGAGGAGAGTCGGGCTTGAATTAAAATATATAATTGAAATAAAATGAATTACTTTTATAGCTTATAGAAAAGAAAGAAGCATATTGAAATATATTATTTAAATAAAAGGGAAATGTTGAAAATTGTATTCAAATAAGAAATCTAGTTGTGGTGATTTTATTCTTAAGTTATTATTAATTTACAAATGTTTCTAAAATTGTAATTCCATCATTCTAATATTATACAGTATTTAGTCAGATGATCAATTAATATATTCTAGATAAGACATATTATTATTCGGACAAATTTATCAATATATATCACCATATGAACGAATTTATATTTATACATTTTCAAAACATTCATTTATAGGTTCATCTTTATTCATGAGTCATGACTAATTGAAGAGGAATTTTCCAATCGTTCGTAATTTCATGTGATTATATATGTTTACTTTCAATTTATTATGATATATATATATTTTGTTTAAAATATAACTAATTATATATGTTTGTTTAAAAGGAACAACATAACTCTCCACCATAAAGTATCAGATTTATTTTCTGTTTATATATATGATTGTTGACAGTAACATTGATATGTAGAACACACAATCATGAGCTTGCGTGATGGGTATTTATTTGCAATGAAATTGTTAGAAGAGGAAACTCGATTAGTAGAAGATTTATCGATTAATAATGTCAAACCACGTGATATATATAAACATCAAAGAAGAAAAATAAGGATAATGTGTCCCCATCTCAAACCATATGCAATGGTCGCTATAAATTTCGTATGACCAACGATAAATAGATGAAGACCTCAAATGCATGTATTTATGGAATTTTTTAGACAACAAGACTATTCATTACACGCATATAAATGACAAAACGAATGAGTTGGATGACTTATTCTTTACTCTACCAAAATCATTGAAGTTGTGGCATTTTATTTCCACACATACTCTTGAGTCTTGATAGCTGTTACATATAATAATAATAATAATAATAATTATTATTATTATTATTATTATTATTATTGATAGAAGATGAAGCAGATTTTTGGGGATTTATTAAAAAAACGATTCATTTGTTAACTTTGTGGGCTTCATGGGGAATTATCCAAAAAAAAAAAAATCATCATTGCCATCTATTACGGTTTCTTGTGGAGTGTATGGAATGCTAGAAATGATGTTTGGATCAATAAAGTCCATATGTAAGTTGTTTGTTTCTTTTTTGCCCAACCTCTTTTCTTTTTAGGTTGTAGTTTTATAAATTCTGCCGGTTAAAAAAAAAATCACTATAAATTATCTTAAACCAATGTTATAACTTGATAAACTCAACTCTTAAAAGCTAAACTCTATAATGTGGCAGGTAAATAAGATATTCAAACACCAGGTAACAATTTTTTTATGTCAAAACTCATACATAACATCGATACCATAATTATATACGGAATAAACAATCATCGGAACAACTTAATTCATTTAACCTAAAAGATAGAGAAAATTATTAAATTAGTCATAATCCTTAATTAATTATCTATTTTTAGCCAAAAACTAGCACTTATCCAATAATAATCACTAAAACCGTAGGTTTCATAATTCATCTATTCTTTTGCCTAAAACCTACGGTTTCAGTGACATCTATATAATTTTTTTTTTCATTTTCGAAATCAAAACCATGGATTTTAAAAAATCTACGGTTTAATCTCTAATGTTTACGGTCCCCAAAGAGTAGTTTTAGAAAATCTATGGTTTCATCAAGGAAACCTACGGTATACAAGCATTTGATGCACAATTTATGCATTGTTTTCTTGTACGCCGTAGGTTTCATACGAAACCTACGGTTTCATACGAAACCTACGGTTTCATTTTTTTTCAGGTTTTTTAAAAAATAAAAAAAAAGACTATATGTATAAAAGCTAGTCCTAATTAAGAATACACTAAAATTATAGAAAAAAACAAAACATACATGGTTATTCTGAATGTTCGATTGAGAGAAAAAAGTAATCGAACTTAATTGAAAATTATATAAACCTAATCTGAAAACTAAAACTTTATATACTATGGACCGGTGAGCTCTGCAAGAGTAGACGGCCCACAAAACAATAGTCTATTTTCCGGAAAAAGTAGTAAAGTTATTTTGGTTATGTTGAACATAGTTTTTTTTTTTTTTTTTTTTTTATTTTATTAAACTAACGATTTTAATGGGTTATTATGGTTATTATGAGATAAGTGCTAATTTTTTTTTGCTAAACTAATTAGAAATTATGGCCAGTTTAATAATTTTCTCAAAAATTATCTAATGCTTATTAACCACAAAAGATAACAAAAAACGACTATTTTCATATTAAATGGGTAGAAATAGAACACGTACAAATAAATCTCATCATCCATTCCTTTACATTGTGCTTTCATTAAAAAAAAAAAAAAAAAAAAAAAAATCAAACACTCCGTCAAAAGCACAACATACAAGATTACAAGTCAAAACTGTACACCCAATCTTCCCCGCCGCTTTCTCAACTCTTTCCACTAATTGACCCCACACCCACACCCGAACCCGAACCCGACCCAGCAGGTCTCGGATACGAATCCGGTTTTCTATCACCCTGTTTCCGAACCGGTTCCCTTCTCGAACTATCCGCCGTCTTCTGCAAATCCTGAAGCTGCTCCAATGATTTCACCAACTCATCAGCACTCGGCCGGTGCTTCGGTTCTTTCAAGAGACATTTCATCGCCAGAATCGCCGCCCTCATCGCCACCGTCGGCGAGTACTGGCCACCGAGACGCGGGTCCATAATATGAAGAATCCGTCGTTTGCTCGATAAATAAGGTTTAACAAACTCCACCAGAATTTGCTCGCCGGAGGGACGGTTTTTGTCGATGCACCGCCTCCCCGTCAAAATCTCCAGCAGAACCACCCCGAAACTGTATATATCACTTCTCGCCGTCAAATGACCTACAAAATACGCATCAATTTACAAAAAAAAAAGTTAGATCAATTCGGTAAATCCAGTTCCAATTGATTCGGAATCGAAGAAGTTTACCTGTCGCCATGTACTCCGGCGCTGCATATCCGTAAGTTCCCATAACTCTCGTCGAAACATGACTTTTTCCGTCCACCGGTCCGTCTTTTGCCAATCCGAAATCAGAAAGTTTCGCATTGTAATTCTGTTGAGTTTATTGAAGATAACCTCGTCAATGATGGAGTAGAAGATGCTAAGATCAAATCGAAAACATGAATTCGAGAGAAACGTACCGAATCGATGAGGATATTTGAAGATTTGAAATCACGATATATCACTTTCGCTTCCGGGCTATGAAGGTAAGCAAGCCCTTTCGCAGCACCTAAAGCGACCTTAATTCGTAGGGTCCATGAGAGAGGTTGAAAGTAAGAACTTCCTGTTATAATAAACAGATCATAAGATTCAATAATGATGGAGACTTTGCCAAATTTGGGGAAAAAACTTACTTCTGAAAAGATGATTTTCCAAGCTCCCTCGAGGCATGAACTCGTATACCAACAGTCTGTGATCATCTTCTAAACAGTAACCGATTAATTTCACCAGATTTTGATGGTTTAACATCCCTAAATAATTAATTTCTGCCTGCAACATAATCAAAAAAATAAGTAATGAGATGTAATTAAAGAAAGAAGATTGGAGAATGTAAACATAGCAACATACCAGCCATTCTTGGTGACCTTGAAGACCTTCTTGATTTAATCTCTTGACAGCAATGACAGTTCCAGTTCCAGGTTTGGCGGCTGTAAGTGATTGCTCATCGATCCATCCTTTGAAAACCGACCCGAATCCACCTTCTCCAAGAACACTATCGGGTCGGAAATTTCTTGTAGCCAATTTAAGTACATTGAAGCTAAAAGGCTTTAAATTTCCTGATTGTAAGATTTCTGTTTGACTTCTAGGGCTCCGAGGGCTTGGTGGTACTGATGCAGATGTAACTTTACCTGTTGAAGTTTAAACACATCAAAAAGACCATACTACCCTTTATTATCAAAAAGACCATATTACCCTCTCTACTGCTTAATTTTATGCAGTTGGATACACAGAAAATGAATCATTCACACCTTCACATGTTTGAAGCTTGATTTAATGCTAAATATAGTACACATCTAAACTTGGAAAAATTCTAATCAAACTGTGAAGAAATTCAACTTTATTATGTTTTTATATTTATATTTACACAATTCGTCGCAAATTATCGATAAGAAAATGAAATGAGAAGTATGAGTTCTTGTAGACAAATATATAAAATTTCATCACAAAACATATAAAAGTTACAACAGCGATTAAAATCACAAGCAGATGATATGAACACGATATACTCACCATCTAAACGTGAACTTTCAATTTTCAATCCAACACTGAAACAAGAACCCATCGTGATCCAGATATTTGATCTTCTTCTTTCTTCTCGATTCAAAACACTGAATGGAGTCTCACCCTTCTCCTTAAAGAGAGAGAGAGAGAGAGAGAGAGAGAGAGAGAGTAGTAATAAAAGTGATAGAAAATTAAGAACTCACTGGGACATTAAATCGAACAGTTGGAGGGTGTGAACGGGAAGACGTGTTGAAAAATACATATAAAAATACGTATGTGATGTGAGTGTGTGTTGAATAGTTGAAGTGTGTACGTGTGAGCACTTGGTTTCACGAGGAGAAAAGGCAAAGACAAAAGGCTTGACTTGTCGCCATTAATTCTCTCCTCCTCACTGCAACTTGCTTCTCACCCTCCAAATCTCCATAACCATTTTTCTACACCACCTTCGTCCATAATTAACCTTGCTTTTTTTGTCTTTATTCATGGAAAACCAGCAGTAAAGGCGAGAGTGGAGGAATCCTAATAATTGAATTAAATATTGCTTATGGGTGGCTTCTCTAATAATTTTTCATAAAACCAAGAACATGACACAGTCAATGGGTCAACAGCCTCATTAGATTCTCGCAATATTTTAAACCATTATATTTTGTTTCTTAAAAATATTAATAACGATTTTCGTCACTTTAAATTATCCAGACAACAACTATTTTTTTATACGTATAGTTATTGACGTTTTTATTCTTAAATTATTAAAATATAATTCGGTCTATAAAAAATATCGATTATCTTTTCCTTTAAGCAAATCTACTTCGGTTTGCTTAAATGAAAACATCCAGTTTTTACGATTTTCTATACGTTAACCACTTTGATTACTAGATGACATTTTAAACGGTCCCCATCAAAGTTGAGTGGTTTCACTAAAATATTTTCGACTACGAAATGATTAAAAAAAATAACTATTTTCTTTTGGCGTTTGCAAAATAACTTTTTTTTTTCTTCCATAACACTCTATTTTTCCGGAGTTCATATTCTAACATTGAGAATTCCATACTATCATTATGGAAACTCCTATTTCCATTTCCTTATGTTCCTTTAAGTTAAAATTGATTAGATTTCCCACTTACCTTTTTATTTTCACCAACCACTAATTATCAACATACTACTCAAATTCATTACATACAAGCCTACATATTTAAAATATATCTAAACCAATACCGATTCAGAACATATTTCAAAGCAAAAACCATACGTAATTATCTAAACGCGTCCTTCAATTTATACAAATTCATTATGTGTCAGTGATTAGGGTTTAGGCCTAACTTTTTAGAATTTTAGCCATTAAGGTTTATGTATTTTCTATATATTCTTATTTAATTGTCTTTTGGGTATCCATCTATCAATCTATTATCTAACATGGTATCAGAACTCTAGATTAAAATCATATTGCAGACCACAACCCGCGGTCACAGCCCTCCGCCTCCGAAGACCTTCTCTAATAATCGTCGGAAGTGCCTTCATTATATTCCATATTTTTTGTCTTTCTTATATTCTCCGCCTAAATAATAAATCAACTGCCGACACCAAACCTGAACTTTTTCACCGGCTTCTTCTACTGTCACGTCTACTTCTGCCTCCTTCTCAGATGGACACTTTTTCATATCTATTTTCTGATTCAACGCATTTTATGGCTAGCATTATCCTAATATATTTTATCTTAGCCACTGGTGAGAATGTCTCATCATAGTCCTTTACAACCAGTTGTGCTTTGAATATGTGCACATTACCATCCATGTTAATCTTCTTCTTGAAGATCCATTTGCAAACCAACTATCTTCCGTTCAAGTTTTTGATCAACCAAATTCCAAACTTGGTTGTCATACATGGACTTGATCTCGTTGTCCATTGTCTCTTTCCATTTGGCTGCCTTAGGGCTTGTTATTTCTTCCTTCTAGTTAGCTGGTTCATCCAAATTTACCTGTATACTATCACTGATAAATATATCACCATCTGTAGTTATATGGAAACCATAGAACTCGTGTAGCATGCTAACTCTACTAGAGCGATGAAGAAATAATGAATTGTCAACTTGTTCAACTGGAATCTCTTCCTTCGGTTGAACCCTAGCGTCTTCAGAGGTTCCTTCATCGGTTGAGTCTTAAATCTCTTCAAGGTCAATGGTGCTCCTACAGTTCTCTTTTCACATATCCAAAGGACTTCTATGGGTAGCCGATGAATATACATCTCTCACTTCGAGGTTCAAGCTTTTTGTGAGTCTCTTGTCTAACGAAAGCTTCACAACCCCAAACCTTGATATGTGCTAACAAGGGAGCTTTCCATGTCCACATCTTGTGAGATGTTTTGACAACCTTCTTAATTGGGACAATATTAAGAATCTGGGCGGCAGTCTCTAAGGTATACCCCCATAATGAAATTCGAAGAGAATATCAACTCATCATGGAACGAACCACGTCCAACAAGGTTCGGTTGCGCCTGCCAGCCACACCTTTAAGTCGTGGTGTCCTAGGAGGGGTCAATTGTGAAACTATTCGACATTCCTTGAGGTAGTCGTGGAACTCGATACTAAGATACTCTTCGCCTCTATCTAACCAGAGCATATTTATCTTCCAACCTAATTGATTCTCGACTTCATGTTTAAACTCTTTTCACTTTTCAAAGGTTCTCACTTATGTTTGATTACATAGATATAACCATATCTACTATAATCATCAGTGAAAGTGACATAGAATAGATTAGCATCTCTTGTGGATGATCTGAAGGGTCCCCACACATTTTTGTGTATGAGATCCAACAAACCTTCACCTATTTCACAAGATCCAGTGAAAGGTAATATTGTCATCTTTCCCAAAATACATGATTCACATGTATCATCTAACCTTTTGGAGTTAGGCGGGCAAGTTAGCTGCACCTGATCCCACATTGGCTGGGAATGAGAACTAAGCATTCCTTAAAAGGGTGTGGATACCTTCTCTATCACAACGCGTTTTAAAGCCACGAGGGTAGCAGATCCCATAATAACTATGTAGTTAAGCATGCCCGGGCGAGAGTAATTCATGGATGGGTGACCTCCTGGGAAGTTTTCGTATTGGGAGCCCAAAGAGGACAATATTATGATACATGCCAGATGAGGATGTTAAAAATGGTATCAGAGCCTGGGCACAAGTCAAAGTGTTCGACGGTGACGTCAAAACCTATAATGGGGGGGTCAAGGCGGGTAGGTTAGTTGCACCTGATCCCACATTTGCTGGGAAGGAGAACTAAACATTCCTTAAAAGGGTGTGGATACCTTCTTTGTCACAACACGTTTTAAAGTCGTGAGGGCAGAAGATCCCATAATAACACTCTAGTTAAGCGTGCGCGGGCGAGAGCAATCTTGGGATGGGTGCCCCCCTGGGATGTTTTCTTGTTGGACAATCGGGAGGAATTTACTTACGATACTTAGTTGACATTCATAAAAAGTATCTAATGAATTATGAGTTCAATACATCCTTTTTAGTAGAAAGACGGAGATTCCTTGCTCATTATCAAACAACCAATTACTCAAAAACTTCATGTGGGGCTAATAGTTTGTATTTCCTATCTCATGGTGCTCTTAGCCTTATCCCTCTATCAGGGTACTTTAGTAATAGATTCTTTAGGAATTGGATGATCTCATTTGGTCAAATACCTAGCGAAAAACTCATATCTTCCTTTCATTATGGTATTTATGAACAAGTCCCTGAATAACAAGTCTCAAGGTTTTAATAATATAGATGTTGATGCTAGTGATGCTAGTGATGATATCATTGATATGGATATGGAACTGCTAACTAGCATGTATAGGCTAACTATGGACATGATGTCTGAAGATGAAGAACTACTTTCTATCAACCTTGAATTCGAATTAGCAAAATCAATGTCGCCTTGCATAATATGGATTATAAACATTTATGATCTAGATGTGAATGAGTCGAATTACTTGTCCCCATGTATATTAGTGAACCTTCTCTCCGAGGAGTATGAAACTAGAAATATTTGTGTTATTGCTTTGACTCATATTCCCCAAAAGTGGATCCCGCTCTAATAGCTCCGAATAAATTAAATATGTGCATTAAGATATGAAGGCTTCTTATTCCACAACAACGAAAGCACTTTTTCACTCTTTCATATACTAGGGGATTTCACTTGGAAAATAAAATGCTCCATACTAATGGATTCGGGTCTATAACCATGGGTTTCAATGCACGAGATCTTGTAGCACTCACCAATGAGATCATATCAATTAGTATTACACAGAATAAATCAATTATAGATACTAATACAATTAGATCCGCTCTTTATAGATAAATTTGGAATTTGCGATCCCATGGAAGATTGGTCTAGGATCATGGAATCCTTTTCTATAAGATAGGAAGGGCTATAGCACAAAATGTACTTTTATGTAATTGCCTCATAGATCCTATATCTATCTATATGAAAAAGAAATCATGTAATGAAGTGGATTATTATTTTTCTTTGGCTTTACTCACATCAGTGGCATATTTCTATGTGGGTCTTAGCAAAAAACGATTAAGTTATTTTGTTAAATATATTCAACCAACTCCAATTCTTTTACCTATTAACATCTTTAAAGATTTCACAAATCCCCTATCACTTAGTTTTCGACTTTTCAGAAATATATTAACCGTTGAATTAGTTGTTGTTGTTCTTGTTTCTTTAGTACCTTTAGTACAATTAGACAAATCAATTTGAAATACATTATCGCTTAAATTATCAAAACACGTCACAGTTTGATACACACCGTCACAAGGTAAAGCTTCAAAATAAAAGTTTCTTGTCATTTCCGACGAGTAGCAACAATTTTTATAAGCAGAAATGGAACCATTCAAATTATTAAATGAATATCTAAACCCTTGTATGCACAATGCATGAAAAGAGATAATGTTTCTTGTCATTTCCGACGAGTAGCGACAATTTATTTAATCTAAACTAAGACCATTACTAAGCACTAGACTATAAACTCCAATCTTGGTAACATGAGAAGTTCACCTATTCACCATGATCAAGTTCATTCTACCGTGATCCACCACCTCACTTCTTCTTAGCCCCTGCAAATTAGAACAAATATGAATTCCACATCCTGTATCAAGGTGCAACATCCCAAAACTACAGTCCAAAAATTTCGTTTTTAAATCATTAAAGAAAAACCCATAA